TATATCACTATTATTAAACAAATTCTCTAAGTCTATCCAGTAACTGCTCCTTGTCAGCACTTTCAGCTTCTATTCTAAAACAGGTTCCAAAATGCAGGTGAGTCTCTCTATATTCTTAGACTCGATCAGCTGTCCCTGATGGAATACAATATGTTAACTATACAACTGTTTTCATTCTCTAGTTCTTGAAGTTAACCATGTGACAAATTAGAAGCTGAAAAGTACAATTTTGATAGTAAGAACTCCTAATGCAAACATATTCTTCTGAACTCCCAGTCCTCAGTTGAGATAACAAATAACATTTTGTTCAAGAGAGTATTTGTGGAATTGTTCCATGCACAGAAAAAGCACTTTTTCACACTCACCTCCTGGAGGCATTTTTTAAACATTTCCCCTCTAATGAGTAGGAACGTTTAAAAATTAGTGTTGACAGGTTGGCACATAGGACAGATTCAAACTTTAAGCATAAAAGTGGGCTGCCTAGTAGCAATTTATAAGCCAAATTCACAAGAACATTAAACTTTTTCTATTTACAATACAGTTTAAACATGTTAATATTTTTATTTTCATCCACCTGAACCTGGGACGAAAACATGTGTTTCCTCTGCTGATATTTTTATTCCATTAATTATCTTTCTTCTAATAGCTAACTATACTAGATTTTAAAAAGATAGTTTTGAGTAACAGAATAGGAATTAAAAGGATAACACTCTATTCCAAGTTGCCTGGATAACAACATTAAGATACAGTAATTATACAATTAGTTGCAACATTAAATTCTAGTTATAGGAGAGTGATTACTGGGCAGTTATAAGAAGTATATAATTACTCAATAAGTAGGAGAAGTACGTAATTACATAACCATTTCATTCAGATCAAAAATAAACTTGCAAATTTACAATGAGATTGACAACACAACAGCTCAACATTTTTCATTGCTTCTCATAAAAAGCCAAGGAGGACTTGCAAGTTCCCTAACCTGAATTTTATACAGACTAAAGGTGTTTTTATCCCTCGTCCCAGCCAAGCAACTTACTGCTGCTGGCAAGGAAAATGTTAGAAGAACATTTTTAAATGCAGGTCTTGCTGGGGCTGACTTGCAATTTGCAGCTTTGCTACTTCTCAGTGCTTCAGCTCAGCTTTCAGTGGGCTGGAAAATGCAGACCCAGAGGTTCAGCCTGACAGACAGTGACACAGGGATAACCCTGTCCCATCATTCCATGCCATTCCTGCCCAGCCTGCCCCAGTGGAGACCCAATTGCTGAGGAGAAGTGGACGAGGCCTCTCTTTTTCCATTTTTCATGGGTGTTTTTCTCTCCATCCTGCTCACAGGTCCTACTGTAGCCCACCAGCAGGTCTGCTGCAGATCTGAACAGCAGGTGCCTCAGGTACTGGGACAGTCCTAAAAGACATTGTTTGCTTCAGACAAGTGGTTTGTACCAGATACCTCCTTGTTCCTGCACTCGGCCTTGTCATTGCTGCCAGGAACAGACCCCAGCACTCCAACAAGCAAGGTCTCTGCACAACACAGGAACAACCGAAAGAGGCAGAAAACAAACTCCTAGATCTGGTTCACTGTGTCCTTCAACACTTAAGACATTGCAAACAACTGTACCAAAAGCTGAATTGGAAGGGGAGGAGGCTCAGAGCCACCATCTCCTGTAAGCTGTTAAAAAAGACTGAACCCTTTGCAGACGTGAAGGGCTTCCCGAAGCTCCTTCATCTTTCCAGATTTGTGCACAGTGATGGTTTTGTTCTTTTCCTGAGCCTGCCTGCTCAGCTCTCCACAGCTCCCCCAAAGTATCTGAGGGCCTTTTTTCCCTAAGCCTGCTATTGGAGAAAAACCTCAGAAAAACTCGTCCCACTTTACTCGTAGTTTCTACCAGATCAAAGGATCTCAGTTTTTCAGGAAAAGATCCCAATGAAGACATTAGGGCTAAAGAATATCCATATCCACACTTCAAACTTGTGGTGGGCTGGGGGCGGGGAGCGGTCCCTGCTCTTCCTGGCGGTGCAGGGAGAGCGGCTCCGGCGGGCAGAGTTCTCCCCAGTCCATGTGCGCCCGGCGACAAACCCTCCGTGCGCCCCGCGGGGAACAGCAAAGTTCCCGGGGCCGACCCCGCGCACTTGGCACGGGCGGGGACCAAAAGCTCGCCCGGGCCCTGATCGAGGGCTCAAAGCCCCGCCCCGAGCTCATGAATATGCAGCAGGGCGGGACATTTGCATCCCCCGGGACGGCCCATTGGTGGGGCGGCGGCCAATCAGGCGCCAGGGGCAGAGGGTGGGGGCGGGGCAGCGGCCTTGGAACAAAGCCTTGGAAATCTTTGATCCACACACGGGATGACTGGAACCATCACTTACATCAGGGTTATCTCTACCTGCTGTCTTTGTGTCATCTGACATCTAATGCGTGGGTTTTAAAACAACAGATTAAAGGGGTTGCACTTTTTAAAGGGGCAAGAAACACTCAATTCAACCCTCACAGTTGAATAAATAACACTACAAAAAATACTGACATCAGAAAAGCATCTCTTTTAAGTCCTGAAAACCAGAAAAGGGACTTTCCACATGGGTGTCCTGTCATCCAGAACTATTAGGGAAGAATTCCATAGAATAAAGAAGTCTAGAAGTGTTCTGTCCAAGATCCAAGTGAGATTCTCTCTCTTCTAACATTTCACTGACCTAGGTAGCAAGAGTTTGGCACAGAATTAATACTGGAAAAAAATGAAACCAGTGAAACCTCCTGAGCTCAGGAGAACCTGACTGTGCTGGGGAATCAGAGCTTTCATCCTGGGAAATGAACTGCTCTGAAACAGTGGGAAGAAACTAGGAACAAAGGCTGAGTTCAAATGCTCCAGAGTCATCAAGTCCTTCCTCACCAAAAGGTCTGAGCTCCCCTTAACTCATCTCTAGACATCCCTGGAAATGAAACAGCCTGACCTTGAAGCCAAGGGAAACAAAGACAAATTGCACGGTTTTAGCTGGAGCAAGGTTGGAGAGGGGGGGATGTGTCACTCCTCTATGACATCACATGTTCCCCGTGACATCACATCCTTCCTCTGACATCACGCTTCCCCCATGACATCACATCTTCCCTATGATGTCACAGCCATCAATTGACACCACATCTCTCCTGTGATATCATATCATCCCTGTGACGTCACGTCCTCTCTTCTGACATCACATCCTACCTGTGACATCACATCTCCCCTATGACATCACATCCGTATTGTGACATCAAGGCTCCTTGACGACATCACATCCATCATATGACATCACACCTCTCCTGTGAAATCATAGAATCCCTATGACATCACATCCTTCCTGTGACATCACATCTCTGTGATATCATATCATGCCTGTGACATCCTGTACTCTCCTGTGAAATCATAGAATCCCTATGACATCACATCCTCCCCTCTGACATCACAACCTCCCCGTGACATCACAGCTCCCCTATGACATCACACTTCCCCTGTGACATCACATCCTCTCTGTGACATCACCCTTCCATGTGACATCACAGCTCCCCTATGATGTCACAACCATCATATGACATCATAACTCCCCTGTGATATCATATCATCTCTGTGATGTCACATCCTCCCCTGTGACATCACATCATCCTGTGACATCACAGCTCCCTTATGACATCACATTATCGTCACGACGGAAAGCTCAGGACACTTAATGTAAGAATCCATGAACTTCGTTTATTGAAGATTGACAGCAGCTTAATATACACTCCATAATAGGCTCATGAATATTACAGAACTTAGGCTCATTATTGGCCCACAGTTAGGTGGTGATATCATCTTAACTGCCTTCGATTGTTTACACAGGTAGCCTGTTAAGTGCTTTTGTTTTGCTAATGCCAGGCTCCTGTTTTTCAGCTCAATTTAGAATACCCAAGGACACTGCAGGCTGTGAGAAAGCAACAATCTCATACCTTCTCACGGCCTAGCTAGAGGCCTGGGTCTTATATTTTAGCAGCTCATCCATAGCTTTAGCCATGTCCATATGTCCACACATTTCTAATCAATTCTCCACATCACATCCATCATATGACATCACATCTCCCCTGTGACATCACAGCCAGTGACATCCAGATCCATCCCAAGGTTGGGGGGGTGTGTGAAACAGGCAGAACCACAAATGCCTGCACAGCCCAGAGCAGTCAGTGTGGGGCTGTGCTTGCTGCTGCAGAGACCCCCAGGGAACAAACCCAGGCAGGAGTTTGGGGGGGTGTCCCTAAGGAGGACACTTGACTTGTTATTGCTTATTATTTGTAATATCTTATAGATCTATCATACAACACCTAAGGATGGATTCTATAGAATATGTGCCATAGAT